GGAAAGAGGATAGAGCCCAAGATAAGAAAATGGACTCCTGGCTGATGTGAGACAGGCCTGGAGAGCATTGGGGCAGGGGGGTGTCTCTAAAACTCTGCTAACCTCATCATCCATTTATGTCAATAATCAAGGACAGGCTCAGCCTTAAGAGAGGAATTGATATGAGCACAAATCAAATCACTGTAAACTTGATTGAGGTAATGGCTTTAATGTTTAATTAAAAACGTGCTGGAATCGAGTGGTTTCTGTTGGGGAGCCCATATGTACTGCTAAAATGAATGTCTCATTTCAGGTTTTTCTCAAATATTACCATGTCGAACAATTAAATTTGCTACTGCGAGAAGTCATAGGCAGAGTGGTTGTGCTGCAGGCATATACCAAGGGGTGGCTTGGAGCCAGGAGATACAAAAGAGTCAGAGAGAAGAGAGAGAAAGGGGCCATTGCCATACAGTCAGGTAAATGGTCCATCGTCATCAACACTGCCCCGAGTGTGGGCATTTCATTACGTACTGGGGCTACCCACCTGCTGCTTTTCTCAGTGGTTTCTTCTTCTCTTCCTCCTTCCCTTTCTTCCTTTCTTTTTGCCCTTCTCTGTTTCAGCAAATCCTTACCAAGTACCTACTTGGTAGGATTAGGCCTGGAGCTGGATGCTTGGGATACATCTATGAACAAACCACCACGCTCCTCGTCACAACAACACACAGGGACGAATGGCCGGATAGAGGCAGTATGATATAACCAGTGATTAAAAAAAAAAAAAAAATCACACAGATATGTGCTGCAGTCTCAGAAATCTGAGATAATATGTATTTCAGGTCTGTGGTCAGGTTTTCAGCATCAGAATTACTAATGCCATTTCCAGAAGTCTTTTCTAGCCCAGATGGAACTTGTAAACCAAGGAACAAATTGCTAGGCTTTCTCAAATGCCCAGCCCAATCGGTGCTCTTTTGTACACGTGTATGAAAGGTCTTCATAAACTTCATTAAAAAAAAATATTGTTAAAAAAACTATGCATGGATTTCAAAATTTTTTGCACCAGAATAAGCTCATACATTAATTTCATTTTCTATGAACATTTGAAGTCCTTAGAAATGTAGGTAGCATTTGTAATGCAAACAGCATTTGAGCTCTTGAACTGTGGACAAGAGGTTGTGTAAAGCACCGATACCGAACACAGTGGCTGGCTTCTTTGTGCTCATATAACCCAGAATGATGTATTTTAGTCCACTTTGGCCTTTGAGTTCACCCAGCAGCTTGAGAGTTGCAGTGCTCAGGCTGAGGCTGGGGAAGAAAGAGGAGGGACACTCAGGCTCCTGGCAAGTGGCTTACTGCCCCAGCTCTGTATCTGAAGAAGTCAACATCCCCCGACACACACACACACCCTCCCTCTACACACCTGTCTGCTTTGCCTTTCCCATTCCTGTTGTACATATTTCTCAGCTCAGAGTTCATTCTCAACCAGTGTTAGTGTCACAGTACTTATTATTCTTCTTGAGTCTCCCCTTCATCATTTTTCTCTGCAACTTTCGTGTTTATATCTTTCTCTCAAATAAAAAATATTGAAACTTAGGAGTTAAGACAAACTGGATCCCACATAGCTGACTGCTGTTTGAGTCCCAGCCACAGAGGCTAGAGAAGCCCAGTAGGTATGTGTCCAAAACCCCGTTGGGTGGAGAAATGGAGAAAGGATTGTGGCATGATCATGCCTCATCAGGAGCTGCTTTCTCCCTCTCTTTCTGTGTCTCTTTCTGGTGCACACATGCACATACACCCTCTGGCAATTAAAAAAAAACATATTGAAAGGATAAGGCTATTTCAGTTCCTTTCCACAGTCCCTCCAAGCCTCCCCTCCCTCCACTGTATCCCCAAGTCCTGAAGGTAAGGCTTCTTCCATGAATTGGAATGACAGGGACCCACCTCACCTGGAGTAGTGGTTCCAACTGATTCCTGAATAGAATCCAGTGTGTTCTGGAAGTTCTGCCTGAATAAAAACAATGCCTCGAAAGCATCTTGGGAGCCAAGCCACAAGAATAGCGAGGCCGCTTTTCCCCACCATAGCTCAAGTACGGCTGTTATTTTGTTCAATGAGAAAGAAGGGAGGAGTAGGGGGTAATTGATTGGAGGGGGAACAGCTTATATCAATTCTCTGGCACGTTCTTAAATTAATGTCATTCCTAGCACATGGTTTTATATTTTTAGCCTGGAGAGGATATGATGCTCGGAGGAAATTTAAGAAAATAAGCAACAGAAGGAGTGAGTCTGCTGTTCATATTCAAGCAGGTAATTAAAACATCATTTCTTCAGTGTCCACTTGAAAATATTCTGTGATTAAATTCACATGAGTTCAGAAAAGCCATGTTCATAATTCAGGAGCTCTGGAATGGGGATCCTAGTGCCTGTAGTGACACACCGCCGGTTTAATGATGAGGCTAACAGTGAGCTTTTGCTGCACACCACAGCATTCCCAATTGTATAGAGGAGGAAACTAAGGCACAGAGAAATGGAGGAACTTGTCCACAGTCACACAGCTCATCATGGCAGTGTCAGAATTTGAACACAGACAGTTTGGATCAAGCCAACTTTGCGTACTGCCAACTGAGCAGATCTTTTTCCTTCTGGAAGTCACATGTCCTTCATCTGAAAAATGAGAACACTGACTGAAAAGGTCTATCTAGAAGGTGCCTTTCAACCTTGGAATTCTCTGATTATATGTGAGCTCTGTCTCTCAGCATCACAGACGAGGAATAACTCAGGGACTTTCCCAGCAAGCTGAGCTTCCCAAATCTAGGCCTGTATGGGCTGCATGGTCCTCTGGGCTTCACAGCGTAGGACCCACAGTACAAGCACACGGTGGCTCTTATAGTTCAGCTTGCCATCGGCAGGCAGCGCCCAGGCTGTGAGCTCATCTATCCCTTCCCAGTTCTTGGGGCAGTCTGCTCTTCTGCAAATGGCAATGTCCACGGTGGCGGCCAGTCCCAACCCCCTCTTCATTTGAAGCTGTATATTCTTAATGAAGGCTCTGGAAGAAACAGGCCCCTGAGCATGCCAGGGGCTCCTCCATGAGTGCAAGAAATTGGAGAGGGAATGAGAGAGAAGTAGCCAGGCCAGTGGACTCAGCAGCCGGGAAAGGGATAGGATTTCAGATACTACACAGCTTGATGCAGTCTTAAGTATGACAGCTGCAGCCTTTTCAAGAGGTCCCTTCCCAGAATCTCGCTCCAGGGAATATTTCTTAGAATTCTCTCAGGCCACTGGAGAGGCCTGAAATCTTTATTCAAATCCAAAATACTTGGGAGAAAGGGGTGTGATTTAAATGTAAATATGTAACTTTTAACATCACCCCCTAAGATTTCTAAGCTCCACAACTTCAAAGTGTCAGACAAGGGATGCATTTCTTATATAACTTAAGTAAGGAAACTCAAAGTGCATCATTTGTTCCCTACTTGCCAGCTTCCCAAGACACATACACACACACACACACACGCACACACACTCATATACAGGGTCTGCCATTAAAAGAGGATATTGGAGGGACTGGCAGGGTGGTGTGGTGGTTAAGGGCACTGGACTCCCATATGGGAGTTGTTCAAGTCCTGGACCTTACCACTTGAAAATCACGCTGGTCACATGTGCCTGCATGCCCAAAATTCCAAGAGGAAAATGGAAGAGAAGGGATTGTGGTGCAGCCATCCCCCTGGAGGGTGATGTCTCACACACTCTCTCTCTCTCTTTTTCTCTCTCTGTCTCTCCAGTGAATGCATGTGCTCTATGGCAGAAAATAAAATATAAGATAAAATAAGGATACTGGACTGATTTCCATGTTTAAAATATAAACTCTGGGAGCCCAACAGTGATGCAGTGGTAAAACCCAATGCTCTGAAGGTCAAACCCCAAATGGGGAGGTTCCAAGTTCAAGCCTAGAGACCTCCCTGTTGCCCCCAGTGAGTGCCCGCCCATGATCAGAGCTGGCTGAGGCTCAGACCCCACAGGGGGGTGCAATCTTTCTGTCTGTCTTACTTATGGAAAAAAAAATACATACTTTTAAAAAAAGTTTATGGAAAATGGAGTTGAAGTATGAGTTTATTTTTATAACCTAACTTGGAAATGAGGACTTCAGTTCTTACCTTTTTGAGAGAAAGAATTCAGCCAAGAGACAGAAGTATAGTGAAACAACGAGGTAAAATGAAAGTACAAGACTTTGTAGCCAGGTAAAGCAAAGTACCCTCCTGAGATACAGGAGCGGGCTCACAGGTGAATAACTAGCCCCCACAGTTCCTGCATTGTAAGCTTTTTTTTTTTTTTTAAGAATTATTTATTTACTTTCGTTTATCATTATGATTTAATTTGCTAGAAGGTACGTACACTTATCAGAGAGGGAGAAAATTAGAAAGCACACCACCAGGTCCAGGGACTCAAATCATGGTAGGCCATGTGGGAGTCCAATGTCTTAACCACCACGCCACCTGCTGGCCCCATGCACTGCAAACTATTATTAGGTTTCTGGGTGGCACCTCCCCGTCCTGCCTAGTTTTGGTTGCCTTTCTCTTTTTCTCCTTCCTCAGAGTCCTACACAAGCTCTGTTGGGCCTTGTAATGCAGTAATTTCCCACAAGTAGTTTGACAGAAGTGGGAGTTGGGGGCATGGGGGGGAACCACAAAGCAAATTATATGTAATGAGTTAAAGGTCACTTGTGGACAATGAAGCTCAGCATTGTACATGCTCCAAGTTAGGTAAAGTCCCTCCAAGTTATGTTAAGGTCCCTTGTGACGCCTCCTATCTTGAGTAATGGGATGTTCTCAACCACAGACGTGCACAAAGGGTGGCATAGAGTCTCTTATAGGTGGTGCCAGCAGGCTTCTAGACCTTTCTCTTCCTCTTCCTATTCATGTCTATCTACCTGCCTAACATACACACACACACACACACACACACACACACACAGAGTAATGATGGTATCGTATCTTTTCAGTGGCGATAAACATGACCGTGTTGTGTTCTAAAACATGGTTGTGTTTACCTCTACTGATTAAAAAAAAGACTCTGGGCCATATGTCTTACTGTCATGTATATGTGACAGTAATGATTGCATCTTTCAGTGGAGCACCTATGGGGTAGGTACCATAGCAGGGTGATTTTTGCTTAGCAGAACTGGAGAGAACACATTTCTTTAAGGGGCCTCCTTTTCTTTGGAGTTTCAGACACATCTCTTCTTTACCCTGGCCGCCAAACTGTTCTCACCTGTCCAGTGGTGTTGGCAGCTCTGCACAGGCTTAGGCAGGCAGGAAGGTGGCACCTCTGTCACCTCTATCCATTAGAAGTAGGCTATGTCAGCCAGAGCAGAAGCAGGTGTCTCTGCCCATCAGCCAACAGCGAGGATGGGAACTGAGGTGCTAGCATTGAGCTGGTGGTGAAGATGCCCAGATTGGGGGATAGGGTCATGGTTTTTACAATTTTGTGGGCAGTTTGCTTTTCCTTGAGAATGTTTTCCTTATCTTTAGATTCAAAGGCATAGTTGTATTTACCAAAAAAGAAGGCAACTCATTCTGACTGTTTGCGGGGTTGCGATCTTCTCAGAGCATCATCTTCTCATTACAAGCTCCCCTCTGTGGCACTAGGACAGTTCCGAGCAGAACAAGTCCCATACGACCATCTCCTTACGTTCGAAGCCTGCAGGAAGTGGCTTAAGGCTTAGCACCTATCACCCTACAACCATTTCTGGATTTTCTCAAGTTATTCTCTAATTTATTATTTTTGCAATAAATCATTTAATTTGAAATTTAGATTCTGTGAAATGTCTTTATTTGTATTTCTAGTTCTGGCCCAGAGTCTTATTTTTTTCCTTATTATTATTTTTTTTAATGGTGTTGCTAAGATATGTTATATATTTTTAAAAGAGCAGCCCTTGAAACTTAGGAAGCATTTGGCCTACATGTTGCTACAGAGCAGCGCATATTGAAATTTGTTTTCCTTTCATCTCCTTCCCAATAAAAGCAGCCGAGCCGGCTTATCCCTTTAGCTTCCTCAGAACTTCCTTTCAGAATTCCCGATCTATTACGGCACATTCACATACCAGAAACAAGATGCCTTTTCATGCTGTCAACCTTTTTCATCTGAAATGTAAATTAATTCTTGCTGGTATGCCTTGACAGAGATCAAAGTCAGGGTATTAACCTTCCTGGGCTTTCTCCTCTGAAGGATGGGGCGGCCACTGTTAGGAGTCCAGAGTCTGTGTTAGAGGCCCTCCTCCAGGCAGCCCTCAGTCTAGGAGTGACCTTTTCAAAGGCTCAGTCATTTCCTAAATGACCTCTCATTACTCGAACGTGGGTGAGAAATGAGCTGCCTGGCTAATTCTTGAGAGAGGAGCCAGCTCCTTTTAGCTGTGGGCCCTCCACTCAGATTCCAGGAGCTGGTTTAAGTGGTTCCGACAGCAAAAGCCAATGATCTTGGGGTAATTGAGGGAAGGACAGGGCTCCAGATTGGAAACTTCTCCCCTAGCTCAGTGGGTCATTTCTTGCCTGTCAGTCTTTGAGGTAGGCCACATTTGCATTTTCAAAATAAACAGATGCCTTTCAAATACATGAGCTGGTGGTCTAGAGATCTCTGTGGGCCCAAGCAGTTCACCAGCCAGTGATCAAATGCTGGAAGAGAAAACAAACGGAAAAAAATACCCAAGGTACACGAGGATACATTTCCTATGTGTATAACGTTGCACAGAAAATAAAGGGCTTTTATGAGATGTGCGGAGGCATGGGGAGAAAGACTGTGGGATCCTGAGTGAACATATTTTTTTGTTCGTTTCCTTTTAGGGGTGGGGAAAACAACTTTGAACAGCATCTTGTTGAGAAGTGGCATGTTTTATTGTTTTTAAAAATGGACAATTCTGGAAATAGGCTGTTGCCATAGGAAAACTCACTGCTTTAAAGACCAAATCATTTTAAATATGTACCTTTCTTTAATCAGAAAAATAAGATTGCACATAATAGTGTTCAGACAGATAATTTTTAAGAGAATTAGGTTTTTAATTTTTAATTTATTATTATTAATTTAATTTGCTGTAGGACATGCATGCTCACCAGAGAAAGACAGAGAGGAAAGAGGGGGAAAGTGAGAAAGCAAGCTGCCAGCTCCAGAACCCGAACTTCTGTCAGCCTTGTGGGAGTTCAGCACCTTAACCACCATGCCACCTGCTGGCTATAGATAGGTTATTTTAAGTAAAAACTAACAGTTACAATGATTCCACTACACATTTATTTACTTATTTTTAGGTTTTTTTTTTTCCT